ACTTGGCCCCATCAACATCTTTGGGTTTTCTCACCAAAGCCTCATCCTCTTCCTCGTCACCATCCTCAGACTCAGATTCGCCGACGTCTTGACTTGAAGGTTGAGCTGGAGGGAATGGAAGAGGGATGGCATCGGCTTTCCTCAACGGTGAGTCCTCAGGAACATTGAGTTTCTTCAGAAGGGACATCCAACCAAGGGTGAAACCCTTGTTGCATGCCTGCTTCATTTGAAGTTCATTGGCCTTAGTAACATCGGCCATACCTTGAGTGTACGCCTTTTCGTCAGCTTCTTTGATTTCGGCGTCCTTGGTGGCCAGGGCCTCCTGAAGCTCCTTTTTGGCCTGGGCCATTTTTTCCTCAGCTTCTCTCTTCTAAGACTCAGCCACTTTCCTGATGGCTTTAGCAGCCTCAGCCTTCTCTTCGGCATTGGTCTGAGCTTTTATTGCGGCCTCGACTTGGTCCTCCAGTTTTTTCATCTTTGATTGAAGACCTTTGTTGGTCTTTTGGAGGGAAGAGAACTCCCTCTTCATCTCGACAAACCTCTCCCGTTTCTCAAAAGACTGCATTGAGAAAGAGTGGGCATGCTGGATGGCCTGAAAGAAAACAGAGGTATTAGAGAATGTTCGAAGTACAAAATAAAGAAAAAGAAAGAAGAGAATTACCAAACAGAAGACATTTACCTGAACGGAGTGCTGAAGCATCAAAGCGTAATTCTCATACTCACTGTACTGGGCGTTTCACTCCAAATCGCCTGGTAACAGCAGAGCAGTGCTGAGTGCAACGCCGACGTTTATATCCTCGGCACTGTCACTTGCCATAACAGGTTTGTCTTCTAGAGTAATTGAGGGGGCCCAGGGGGCATCAGGTTTTTTTGATCCTGAGGTTGTGACAGAAGAAGACCTCGGCTTTTTTAGATTTTGGGATTCTGATGGTTGAGACTCAGAGCGCCTCTTCCCAGCAGAAGGCTGAGATTTATCACTCTCAACCAACTTTGAGATCGGCAAGGTGTCTTCAAATTCAACCTGAGCTATCTTAGCCTTTGGTTGAGCCTTCTTTATTCTTTTCGGCTTCGGTGGAGGTTGGATTTGTGTTGGCTGCTCATCAACAGATGAAGAAATACTAACTATAAGATCTTTTGCAACAGGCTTAGGACGACCCATCTCGGCGGTAAGGACAAGTCGTCGCCGACGTTTTCGTTCTGATATTGGGACCACGTATGCAGCCAAAGTTGATGGCTGATCAGCTGGATCAGATGTTGATCCTTGATCTGTTTGTGATGTGGATGCAGTCAACGGAGTTGTAGCAGAGGGCGGAGAAAGGCTTTTCTTCTTCCTTTTGGGAACGTCGAGCAAAGTTGACTTGTATGATGGAATAAAATTGAGAAGCGCAGGCGCTTTCCTTTTATGGACTAGCAAGTCCAGAAGTTTCTTCAAATCCTTGCTGGGAACAAAGGATTGGTGAAAATTTTTCGGTGGCTGACGAACAGCTGCAAGAAGAACAGACGTCAGAAACCGACAAAGTATTTAAGACTTTGAAAGAAAACAGGCAAAGCTGAATACTGGGATCTTACCCTTGCCCTCTAAAACTGATCGAGGAAGAGTGTAGAGATGGATGTCCTCGTCTAGAGCAAACTCCCAATTTCCCGAGGTAATGAGATAGTCATCTCCAGCCCCCTTGTTGGAGTCTAGGAGGTCGGCTACGATTTTGAATTCTGTAGACCTCGGCTTAAGGTAATAAATGTAGCTTTTTTTCTTTCAAATTAAGGGCACACATGGTATAGCAATACTGGACATCGGCTAGGGTGATCCTAGCATTTTCTTATTTAGCTAAGGCTATGATGCCATTGATCACTCGGTAGGAATTGATTGCCAGTTGCATGGGGTTCAACTTATAATAGTGGAGAATCTCACGAAAAATGATGTTGAGTGGGAGCCGGAGTCCGCACTCAGTGAAAGCTACAATGGGAAAAGGCATCGAATCATCTGTGGGCATGATGGAGTCGTTATCTCCAGCCAGCCTCAGATGGACATCGGCAGGGATAGAAAATTCTTGCCTAAAATACTCAAGTTTTGTCGGGGTATCTACCCTATGTCTCCACATACCCATGATATCGGCCTGAATTAGAGGGGTTGGATTTCAGAGAAAAAATGTCACGAGAGGGTTAATAATACCTCGGCAAAAATTTAGGTAAAGTACTAGTTTCAGTTTTTTCCTAAATCATGGGTTCTACACAACAAATCCCAAACCTAGATCTATGAAAGTAAGGGTTGAAGGCACGGATCTGGAAGACAGAAAGGCAAAGACGTGCTTTAGAATCAAGAACAGGAATGGGCTATCAAGAGCATAAAGAATACGAGAAATAAATGGTCAAGAATAGTAACAAGAGTGCAAGAAAGTGGTGAACAGTGTGTATTCAAGACTTGGGCAAAAACAAAATCATGAAATAGACACACTGAGATACATGATTCATGAAATCGAATACTTGAGCAAAACAGCAATGGCAACAAGAAATAAAGAATATCAACAGAATTGAAAACACAAGGAACAGTGGCTTACTAGAAAAAAGTGAAGCCGGTATGAAGATTGCCGAAGTCAGACGACAGTAATGGATGCAATGAGAACGACGAAAGCTTCATAGGAAGGGAGAACGGAAGACAGTTGCAGAGCTTGAAGACTGGAACAATGGCGTATCCGGGAGCTAGAGAGAGAAAAAGCGAAGAGAAATAGAATGCAAAAGTGAAAAATGAAGAAAGGGGGAAAGGTTTTTGTTAAAAATTTGAAACGGCGGCAAAAACGTAATCAATACGCCTAAAAGAACGAATGCGTCAGACGGCGCACGTGAGAGAGAGACGGCTTGCAAGCGCATCATGAGCACGGTCCAGTAAGGTGGAGACGCCTGAATGAAATGGTTGAGTAAATGATACGTAACGACTCACACGCGTGAAAAAAATTCACTGGAATTCTTGTTTGCTGAAGAAAACATGTCGACCAGAAAATGATCTCAGCTGAGGAATTCTTGAGCCGATGTACAGAAGGAAGGACCGATATAGGTTCCATCACCTCAGAATGCCGAGGTAATAGAACCTAGGGGGTAGTTGTGGGGATATATTTCTGAGTACCAACACGTGGCAAGGCGAAGCCGATGTGTCAGCCGAGGTGCCACGTGTCCTGGTCATTATGCCGAGGTTATCTCAGCATTGCCGAAGTTATTTCTGAAGAAATCGGAATCCGAGATAAACGGATAAGGGACAAGAGCCCTAGAATGAATAGGAGACTTAGTCAAGATGAGGATAAATCTCTTAGGGAGTTTATCTTTATCTCTTGAGGAGTCCAAAGTAAGTACTGAATTGGAATCCATAGAAGTGAGGCTTCTAGTAGGACTAGGATTAAGTAAATTATAAAAGAGAGGCACTCCCGTGGGTTTAAGGTACGCAATTTATGCTTTGAGTAGTGAGTTTAGCACTTGATTTATCTTTGAGAAATATACTGACTTGATCGTCAGAGTGCCCCCGGGTAGAAGAGCCACCGCCAGAACCTTATCTTTTTGTTACAGGTTAATTGAAGCCATCTATTTTGCCGGTACTCTCTAACTGATTACTAAACGGGTAGTGTGACTAGAAAATCACTCACACACTACCCATCTCCATTTCTTCATCAATCTTTGTTACTTTTGTGTTCAATTTCTCAAATTTGTTGTTTGTTTAAGTTCAAATTTTATTGTTTCTTGAACTGGGTAATTGACTGTGCATCTTGATAACTATGTCAAACTATGTATATAATGTGATCATTTTTTGTTTTTAGGATCTTCTAGTCATGTGGAACCTAAAAAAGAAAAAGAAAATAATTCAATCAAATTGGAAAGTCATTAATAAGATGAAAACAAGCTAACTTTGAGTTGACCCCCAAAAAATTGACTTATTTTTATCTTATTTGAACTTTTCTTTCAAATTTGATAAATTCTCAAGACTAGGAAGACCTAAGAATAAAAACATCTTGATCAAATTTTAAAAAATTGTAACTAAAATAGGGAATGATTGTTTCCTTTACATTTTCTTTTCTTTTCCATCACCAATTCCCATTTTTCATTTCTTTCTTCTTCTTCTTCATTTTTATTAAAGCCTTTCGATTGTTTGGAATGATGGGAAGTAGCTATGAGAAAAAAAATGTGTATGATTTTTATTGTGAAAAATTATAAAAGTTTACATCATGATATATGTTTTGAGTTCTCAATATTCTTTTGCAAACTAAACTTTAGTTGTTTTGTTTTCTTAAAATGTTTTGCAGGGTATGAAGCTCCAAATCTGAGGTATGCTGAATTGTTACTATTATCTATTGTTAAGTGAACGCTATCTCTTTGTTCATTCAACTGAAAAAACAAATTTGAATTTTAGAAATGAGGGACCATGATCAATCTTCAATTAATAGTAACGCATCTATCAGAGCTCTCACATAGTTGATAGAGCCTAGTTGAGAAGAAGAATTTATGTAGCCAACCCTATTTGATGAAACTTAAGGGTTGGGTTGGTTTGGTTTGGTTTAACATTTTGCATTTTGTCATTGTAAAGGAAACTTGCAGACAAAGTGGCAGCCAAGGGATTTCTAGTAGTGGTTCCTGATTTCCTTTATGGTGAACCATTCGATCCTAACAATCCTAATATGGGCTGGGATTCGTGGATAAAGGCTCATGGCATGGTTAGTTTCTGGTTTCGCTACGCTTATCTAAAAGTTGGTCATCAAAATTGAAATGCTAGTTTCAAAGATTAAAGAAGTGAGATAGCACACAGTTTTTCTATTGCAACATCAAAAGGTTCCAAATTGTCACCATGTATAATTTTTAAAATTTTTAGGGTCGTCGAGTCGAGATAGGCTAAAAAGTAAAAATTTTGACATAATTAAAAAATTAAAAAGTTAACTATAGAACAAAAAAAAAAAAAAACAATAAAGATCAACTTTAGGCTGATAGATTCATCACTAAAATGTTATGAGAAGCATATTGATCCTATTAGAACACAATAGGTTTGGAAAAAAATAATTCCTTCTTCTACAATTCAATTAGTTGTGTTAATGTGAACTTTCTGCATTCCACGATAAAGGGTTTGAAGATGCCAAGCCAGTAATTTCTGTTTTAAGAAGCAAATGAGTCACTTCCATAGGGGCTGCAGGTTTTTGCTGGGGCGGTAAAATATTTCTATTGCTTTTTACATGAAAATAAGATGCGAAACTTGACATATTTGAACTGGGCTGCTCTTCACCCACGAGTCAGGACTCGGCTGCTAAGATTATGGGTTATTTTTGTGTTTGGCTCAGGGGTGGTAGTTGTAAAACTAGCAGGGACTGATGACATTCAAGCTGCAGTGTTACTGCATCCAGGACCCATTACAGAAGATGAAATCAAAGGTAAATTTCACACTTTTCAAGCTCATAACTTGTATATATGTGACTGACAGCTTGTTCTTATAGAGGTTAAGTGCCCAATTTCAATATTGGGAGCCGAGATTGACCGAGCATCTCCACCTGAACAACTGAAACAGTTTGGGGAGATTCTATCAGCAAAACCCGGGGTAAGAGATTCTCAAAATGTTGCATAGCTATTTAAGAAAAAAATAAAATTTTCAAACCCTTTCATCATGTTATTACTCTCATTGACTTTGGCATTGTTATGCAACTTTCATATTGTGTACACAAATTTCAGTATATCTTGTTGACATAACCTTCTGTCATCTCTGCTGAAAGAACTGGAATCATTTGACTGTCTTTGTCTACTTTTTTACCCTATTTTTCAGATCGACAGCTTTGTGAAAATATTCCCTGGTGTATCTCATGGATGGTCAGTAAGATATGATCTTGGTGATGAATCAGCCATTAAGAGTGCTGAAGAGTCCCATGGCGACATGTTGAGCTGGTTTAAAAAGTATGTCAAGTGAAAAAAGTTCCAAATAGTTTGAGGAATGATACACCACTATTCCAAGGACAATCATTGGGTTATTGCGAGACATCGGTGCATTCTCTGCTTGTAGGGTTTTTGTTATGTAATTTATTAGACAACAAATTATTGTATTTTCGAAGACTCGCCCTTGGGTGACAATCGTTGGGTTTTTGTGAGACATCGATGCATTTTGTGCTTGTTGGGTTTTTGGTACACATTTTATTAGACAATAAATTCTTATATTTTCAAAGACAATAAATTCTTGTATTTTCAAAGATTCGCTCTTCAGTGGAAAATAAAAGAAAAACTTGAACTGTGTATTGTTACTAGAAATATATTCATGTTGAATGAACTTGCACCTCACTAAAATGAATTCAACACTGTGTTCTTTGTATTTATATAGTTTTTTATTTTTATGTTTGCAACATGTTTGTTTGCAAATTCTCTGTATTTATATGATCCGTTCATAGGGATGGCAATTTGAACCCGGTCCGATGGGGACTCGACTCCCCAACCCCGATTTAAGTGGTTTTTTTTCGAAAAATATCCCCAATGGGACGGGAATGGTACTCAAAAATCAATCCCCGATCAGTTTCCGGCCGGGAACGGAGATAAGTGTCCCAGCCCTGTACCAAGCCCGTTTCTGTTTATCCCCGAAGCAAAATTACTATTTTACCCCTTTATATATATAAACCAAACACTTTTCTCTCTCTCAGTCTCTCGCGTCTCAATTCTCTCTCCCTTACTCACGTCTCTTATCTCTCTCTCTCTCCCTCACTCACTCACTCAGATCTCTCATCTCTCACTTCTTATTATCATTAACATCATCCAGATCCACCACCACCACCACCACCGATTTGAACAGATCGTGAACCGTGGTCCGTCCGTGAAGCCTTCCGTTGCCACCGATCTGAACAAGACTAGGACCAGGACCGTGACCGTAAAGCCAGGACCATGACCAGGACCGTGAAGCCACCGATCTGAACAGATCATGGTCCGATTGATGTCTTGATCAACGGATAGATTGTGAAGCCCCCCATCTCTCTCTTTATATATATATCTATTGTTGATTGATGAACAATTTTTTTTTTCAAGTTGTTATATATATTATATCTATTGTTGTTTGTTGTTGTTGATGAACAATATTATATCTGTTGTGTGTATGCGTGTTGAACAGATCTGTCGTGCATTATACATACATATTATTTTATTTATTGTTTTTTTGTTCTTGTGTTTGTGCGTGTGTTGAATAGATTTGTCAAAGATTTTTCGGGATGGGGGAAACTCGATCCCCATTAGGAGACGGGGACGAAGGAGGTGATGGGTTCCCTGCCGGGGATTGGGGACAGGGCTAGGAATTTTGTTATTGTCGGGGATCGGGGACGGGGAGGGTCATCTCCCGTCCCATTGCCATTCCTACCCGTTCATGTTCTTTTTCTTCGTACCTAGTCCTTGTAATTAATATATTTGGGGAAAATTACAAATACCTTTGAAATTTATTTAAAATATAAATTGTCTCCTATGGTTTTGGAAATTATATCCTACTCTTTGAAGTGTTCAATTTCATAATAAATAACTTATTTTATTAATAAATTATTAAGTTAATTAACAGTTTTTAATGATATCAGAAATTTATTTAAATTAATAATTCAAGTAATTTTATTATTGTATATGAGAATAGTTAAAAATTTTATTTTTACAATTAATTCTGTTAAATAAAAAATTATGATAATAGATATTTGTAATTTTTCAAATCATAAAAGATAATCTATATTTTAAATAAATCTCAAAGATATATGTTTAATTTACCCTAATATCTAATAACATAATAAATTATATTAATTTGTTCGATGCTACTGTTTCTGCAAAGAATTGGTCAGGACCAAAAAAATAAAATATTTTATTTTATTTTATTTTCAATTGAGATCTAGATTAATAAATTTTGTTGAGTAGGTTTAAAAAAATAAAATTATGAATTCAGAAAATTTAAATACAAAAGGTTTTAAAAAAATATTTTGCCACTTTAGTGCCCATATGAAATTGTTAGGCCACAAGAAAAGCACAACCCTGCGGCCCTCCCTGCCGCACTACAAAATGACGCTATTTTGTATTTTTTTTTTCTCCTCCTTTGTTTATTTTGCTTTCTCCTTTCCTTTTTTGAACCCTAGACAGATCGACGGAGGCGACGAATCTTGAAGACAGATTGATGGAGGCGACGATCTGGACGAGAGTCTGAGCCGACGAACGGAGAGGCGACGGAGGGGAGGCAAGGCGAGGCGAGGTGATGAACGGAGAGGCGACAGAGAACAGGCGGCGGTGAGGCGACTGGAGCGCCGAGAGACTAACAGACAGAGTGGGCGAGGGTGACGAGGTCCGTTTCTCTCCCTTTGGTCTTTATTAGAGATTAAGATCCGTAAATCTATTTCTCCCTTTACCATTTCTCTCCCTGCGTGGTGAATTTGTGTAAAGAACAGCCATATTCTGAATGTCTGTACAAAAATGATAGCACCCCTTTGAAAAATTTGGGTGATGAGTTAATTAGCTTAAAAATGTGATCCTTAATCCCTTTAGTTCTGTTAAATTTAATTCTGAAATATTCTTCTAGTTGAAAATAGAATTAGCTTTGGAAAATCTTTGTGATGGGTTAATTGGCTTCAAATATTCTTCATTTGTTTTGTGAATGTGACAACAGAATTACTTGGGAGCAGAATTTCCTTTGGAAAATTTGGGTGTATGCTGGATTCCTATAGATAACAGATTCCTTTGGAAAAAACCAATAAACAAGACATTCATAAGTTGAACTAAGTTTGGAAAATCTGGGTGTATATATGAATTAGACCCCTGTTTGTATGGTGTAACCTTTTATATATGAATTAGACATTCATAAGCCAATAAACTATTTGGACTATGGACTTTGTATGGTGTAAGAAGGGAGAGATGATTCAAGACTTAGACTCCCGTTTTTCAAACTCAAATCTCTTTCTTTTTTCTCTCTCAGAATGGTATGTATATATGAATCTACATATATACATAGAAAATAATCTGTATATATGATGTTGTGTTCACATTTAGGAAAAAACAACCTACAGCAATAGATTTATCTGATGTTGTTGATTTCAAATCCAGAGTTAGATGAAAGGGTTATCAATCTATCTCGTGTGACATAGACCAATTTACATAGCAGCATGTAGGAATGATATGATCCAAGTTGAATGTGACTTTAGCCTAAGAGGGTGTGTGAGTTGAGGCTGTGACAAATATGACTTCAATGAAATTTATGAATTGTGTATATAATTTTACCTATGAATTGTATATATAATTTTGCAGATGTCAAGTTTAAGTGTTAACAAAGGTACCTCAGATTAGTTGACACATTGCAACAGAAATTGTCCTAAATGTCATAAGAAAGCAACAATTCGAATTTCCGAGACGGAACGAAATAGAAACAAATTATTTTATTGTTGTCAAAATTGCAGCGATTTTATTGGATGGTGCTTGCCTACAAATTCACAAGGTAGAGGTGAAAGAGTAGTGCAAATGGAAAATATGCCAACTGTCACTAAACAACAACTTCGACTTATGAACGAACAACTTCGATTTTAAAGCGAAGAACTCCAATTTCTGAGGGCGAAGATGCTTAAGTTGGAAACAAACATAAATCAAAATTCGTGTCGTATTTATGGGTTGTTCATCTTGCTTGTAATTGGTATCGTGTTAGTTATAAAAATGTAATAGTTTTGTAATCTTTATTTTTGTTTGGTTATATGGACTTGGTGGTGGCACTTTGTATGGTTATGTGGTTATGTTTGTAAACTTTTTTTTGTATAGTTATTTGGACTTGTTAACTTTGTATGGTTATATGGTTATGTGGTGGCACTTGGTATTTTTATGTTGTTCATTTTGTCCGGCAGAGCTGTGTAATCTGTGTAATATGTTTGTATGGTTATGTTGTTCACTTTGTATGGTTATGGTTATGTTGAACCTCTTCTAGCAGAGCTGTGTAATCTGTCCATTAGAGGGTGTAATCAAAACATGAAATAAGTGTAATCTGTCTATTAGAGGGTGTAATCAAAACAGGAAATAAGTGTAATCTGTCCATTACAGGGTGTAATTAAACAGGAAATAAGCGTAATCTGTCCATTACAGAGTGTAATCAAAACAAGAAATAAGCATAATCTGTCAATTACAGGGTGTTATCAAAACAGGAAATAAGCGTAATCTGTCCATTACAGGGTCTAATCAAAACAGGAAATAAGCGTAATCTGTCCATTACAAGGTGTTATCAAAACAGGAAATAAGCATAATCTGTCCATTACAGGTGTTATCAAAATAGGAAATAAGCGTAATCTGTCCATTACAGGGTCTAATCAAAACAGGAAATAAGCATAATCTGTCAATTACAGGGTGTTATCAAAACAGTAAATAAGCATAATTTGTTCATTACAGGGTGTAATCAAATAGAAACTAAGTGTAACCTGTCCATTACAAGGTGCAATCAAAACACAAAATCAGTGACATTAATCTGCCGATTACCAAGTATATATATGCATGCATTCTGCTCCTAATATTTAAACCAATAAATCTCTAACTCAATCATACAGCAAACACCTAACATAATAAATTTTGAATATTCTTTTCATTCATAGCATAAGAATAAAAAAAATAACGTCATAAACAAATAACATGCATCAATCATTGTTCTCATTGCAAACGTTGTGACCATTGTTCCCAAACATATCGTTTCCAAACATTGTTCCCATTGAAAAAAATAACATCAATAATGACCCAATTTTGAACAACATAAAAAAATACACCCAAATATGTTTAAAATATAATAACATCATCGTTCGTTCAACGATGTCCATGTACATGACTGTCAGCAAGACTATGTGAGGCTTGCGACATTTGGACTGGAAAGTGTTGAACTGTAGTGCCTCGAAGCAACTCCTGAAACGATGTCTGAGTGGGATAGACTAAAGGCATTGACTGAGGCGTGTTACTTCCCTGCAATAGTGCTAAATTTATTAAAATATTGATACAATGTATACTACCAATTTGAATGTAAAGTATGTAAGTAATTATAACTCACATCATATGTAGGATACGTGATATGATGAACACTTGTGCAACCCATGGGAGGTTGAGATTGAGATACAGGTCGAAATTAAGAACTATAGACACTATGACCATGACCCTAAAGTAAA